GTTACTGAGAGCTGATTAGAAGGCAGAGAGAGGTCTCCTGATTCATGACAAGAGCTGCCCAGAAACTGGCAGCTATTAGGGCAGCTGGGGTGATATTCCAGCAGGCGGTTCGGGGCTGCGGGGGTGTGAGTGACCAGAAAGGCCGTGTGACCCAAGACTCGCAGTCACCTAAGGCCAGGGAGGGTGACGTGGAAGTTGTGTCTCCCAGTGAGTTCCATATATTGCCTTTGAGGTTTGTGTGAGTCCTCCAGCACTTATTTTAAAAATGTAAACACTTCATACATACTGATGATGCCTGTTACTCAGTTTGGGCCTGGATCTTTGAGCTTTAATATACTGAGAGCTTCTTTTGAAGTTTTTCAGATTTGTTGCAGGGTCTCTCTCCTTGCCCGCTGGAGCCCGGCCAGGCACCAGAAGTAGTGATTATTGGTTACGCCGGGCTGTGGGAGGCTGGCCTGGCCCTGGGGAAGCTAGGATAAAGGGTTGTGCTTCATTAAAGAGAACCCCAACCCCGCAAACCCAACACACACACACACACCTAAAAGTCCTAGCATAGAGACCATTTTTAAACCACCTTTCTTGTGAATGTAAAGTCAATTTGGTAAGTCTTGTAACAGGAGTGAAGGGAGTCAATGAGGAGAAGAGCAAGCTTCTGGGGTCAGTGGGCAGTGGGAGGCCCAGAGGCAGGAAATATGAGGAGGTGGTGCTGGGGTGGCCCCCGAGAGGTGGGTGGACCGCTGAGGGTGGGCTCTGGTGGTAGGTTCTGGTTGGGATCCCAAAGTTGCTGTCTGATGGTTTTTCCACCGCCCCCTGCTTCTAAGCCCGGTGGGGGTAAATCCACACCAGCTCTCGTCCTGGCGAGCCCAGCAGCTGGCCGTGCCTTGAAGGCTTCGGTCTGGAGCCCTGCTTTGGCAAGGGGCAGAAAAGCAGCACACCAGGTGTCCAGGAGGGCAGTGTCTCTCTGCCCCAGGTGCGTCAGGACAGAGTTGTGCCTGGTCATGTCTGTGGGATCACGATTTGGGTTCTTCTCTTTCCGTCTAGACCTGATCAGAAAACAACCTGGACCACTGGCAGGCCAAGTCCTGCCTACTCTTGTTGGGGGGCCTTGAGCTGACTCTCGCACATGGATGAGCATTGCATGGCTTATTATAGAGATTGGATATCATAAGGAAATTGTCCCTCTTTCTGGTTCTAAAGAAAATAAATTTTTGTTCACCCCTCCCATAGAGCGGAGAAATGGCTCTCTCTCTGTGAGGAGCCCGTCAGTGCTCTGGATGGAGGGCTTCTAGGTTTTCCTCCTGGGCAGGCCACGTCCCCGGCACTGGTGTGTCTTGGGCCCAGAAGGTGGAAGGGCAAGGCAGGAAGCAGGGGCATCCATTAAGTGCAGGGGAGGCACTGGGCCTCAAGTCAGAGCAGGTGGGGCCTGCCTGGTGCCTCTGGAACCTCACCGCAGGGCAGGGCTTGGCTGTGTGGCTGCAGGAACAGGGGAGTGGAGGGCTGGAGGGCTCTGGATTGGGCCTGGGCATCATTGAAAAAGAGAGTTAGCCTGAAATGGGACTGGTGTCCGGCTCGCCTTCCCCCATGCTCTGGGCCCTGCGAGCAGGTTGCAGGGAGAGTGGGCACATTCTCGTCCCTTGCAAGGGTCTCTCTGGAAAGCAAGGTGGGGAGAAGGAAGCAGAAGGGCCGGCTCGCAAGAAAAAGCCTTTCCAAAACGAAGGTTGGATTTTCTCTGAATTGAACTGCAAAGTACGACCTCTCCTGTAGATCTCAAAAGCTCTATGCAGACTCTGCCTACACTTGCTAGGACTGCTCAGCCCTTTGTGTGAAGGAAATGGTGGTGTTCCAATCCACGGTCATGTAGAGTGCTTTTCTAGGCTTCGGTTTGCAATCATAGAGCACAGACTTTGAAAACTGGAAGCAATCTCTGAACTCATGTGCCGCTGAACAATGGTCCCCTGACTGTGCCCCCGTCCGAATTCCTGGCGCCTACGATTATGTGACCTTCTATGGCACAAGGGGTTTTACAGATGTGATTCAGGTAAGAATTTTCAGGTGGGGAGATTATCCTGGCTTATTTGGGTGGGCCCCGAATATAACCACCAGCATCCTCATAAGAGGGAGCAAGGAGCTCAAAGGAAGAAGAAGGTCACGTGATGATGGGAGCAGAGGGAGAAAGGGGATGTGCTGGAGGCCACAGTGAACAAATGAGGACAACCTCTAGAAGTCCATTTTCCCTGGGAGCCTTCAGAAGGAGCTCGGCATCGCCAACATCTTGATTTCAGGCCACGGAGACCAACGTTGGACCCATGTCAGTTCTTCCAGAACTGTAAGCGAATTAGTGGGTGTTGGATGAAGCCACTATTTGAGGTAATTTGTGACAGAAGCAACAGGAAACTGATACAGACCTCGTTTACCTCAGCTCTCTCTTCTCACAGATGAGACCTAAGCCCATGGGCAGTCAATATTTTCATGTGTAGTTTGTGAATTTGTTAATTATGTATGGGGACGGGTTGATGTTTCCCCTGCCTCTATGAATAAGACATGAGAGTTTTTTTCTCTTATTGGCCAGCTGACCAGAACAGGCCTTGGGATTTTAATTTTATGGGGTCTGATTGATAAATTGATCCTATGGGTTTGATAACCATATTTTCTTGAATCCACATGAAGGACTCTCACCTGATAGGAATGAGTGAATTTAGCCGGATAATTTGACAGAGGCTGTCCCAGCGAACCAGAGACAAACAGTCTGTTATAAACCATGATGTAGTGGTCAACACAGGCTCTTTGCTCCTCCAAGCTCCCTTCTCACGGTTCCTTACCCTCCACATCATAGGGGAGGAAAGGGGGTTGGAACCTTGCCACAGAGAGGTTTTCAGAAGATGCTGTTATTTTCTGACCCAAAATAGACTTGGGAAAGGCCTGGGTTCAAAAAATGAAGACTCATTGCTTCAATCCTTGCAATAAACATCCTGGGTTACTTTCACCTCAAACCTCAGAGGATTTCGAGATACTTCAGAACATTCTGTGCCTTGTCCATTTCCCATCAGTTGGTGGAGAAATTGAACCAAACACTCTGGTGATAGTGAGGAGAGGACAGTGGAGACAGTGGAGATGGGGGGGACATGGAGGAATGCGGGGAGGGCAGCCATTGTTCCATGAGGACTTTTGGTGACGGTTGGGGTCTGAGGCATTAGTTCTTGAAAGGGCTATTCAAGCAATTCTTGTGTCTTCATGATCACATTTTCCCATTGAAGACGTGAGGTTCTGTAAATTCCTCTTTATGGATCACAAGATCAGCAGTTATACTTCAATATGGCCAACAGCAGACCGCATGGTTTCACTTCCTCTCTTTGGCTATATTAAGCTGTGGGCTTCCTTGTGCTATCTAGCGAACACATCCCAGCCAAGGGAAGGTTATCTAGGTCTGGTGTGTTTGGTTGACCACAGAGAGAGCGAGGACAGGACTCAATTATTTGCATAACCCTCATCCCGGGTTGATGAGGTATTTGGGGGTGAATTTACACCCTTGACATTACTTGGCTTGACCCAAAATTTATAGCTCGAACTTCAATCGAACCATGTCAAAATTTTGGAGCAAAACCAGATATTCCCCCTTCAACTGGTCCTTGGAGAAAGAATAAACATGGATACAGTGTAACATTTACCCTTTGGCCAACAAACTCCACTTTGGGGGTATTACAGCTTCCACCACGAAGTTACATAAGTCAATACAGCTTCCTCACTTGTGGTCCCCCTAAGTACTTGGACCTCAATTTGTGCCCACCTCTAAGTTTCCATCTAGGTCCAACATCGTATTTTTCTTCGATTTTTTTTACCCAATCTGAGCTATGATTCCCTGGGAGTTCTCTTCCTTGTTAGCAAAAGGATAAAGCTAGGGCCCGTGGGCTCTTTCAACTTCGAGCCATTTGTTTTGGATATGAAAGTCCTAAGACTTGTCTCTAAACATTTCTCTCCCTTTTCACCTGTAAGAACCCCAGTATCTGAGTCAATTAGACGGCAAGTGTCATTAAGGTTAGCAACATGGATTTTAAAGGACATTTGGATGAGTGTTCTTTTCCATCCACCAACAGGGGGATCCATATACACCTCTGCCCACACTATGCAATATGGCCCAACAAGAGGACACGGGGACCCAGAGGGTTCACGTCACAGTCACATGCCCTGTTCCTGGTCAAGTTCTTATCCTCTCCCATGTGGCTCCCTGTTCATATCAAGGAGGGCACTGGACCTAGGGGTCCAGTCAAGCCTGTCTGGGCGGACAGCAAGGGCAGTGAATCCAGTAGGGGGAGGGCTGGCTCTGTGCATCTGAGGACTTGCATGGGGTCCCAGTGGGCTCTGGGCAAGCTCCTGCGGCAGCCTCGGGTCAGGCTCACCCCCTCGGCTCCCTGCTCTCTAACGCCTGGCCACCTGGTGACTGCTGAGGGGGACAGAGGAGACAGCAACATAACCTCTGGGCCTCTCAGGGGGAGTTTTGTACCGACATGACCTAGGACCGAAGTTCCATTTCCAGAGGACAAACTCTTCAGTTCGGCAAATCCCACAGGTGGTAATAAAGACTTGGAGAGTCACCCCCTTCCTTCACTTAACAGTTAAACATCATATAAGACTGGAAACCGGGGGACACAAAGCTTAACTTCCCTCCTATCCCCGAAGGGGTGTTCCGTGGGGGCGAACATCAACCGTCCCACTGGCTAAAGACCCCAAGACCTCGTTTCCTCTTGGACGGGGCCAGGGCCAGCGAAATAGACATCACTTTAAAACCACCTCTCAGCTGAAGTATGTAAGTTTTAGCGAGTCACAGGAAAAATAGGGAAACTTACGCACAGTTTCCTTGGCCACTTCCCCATCTGAGTGATCATGCACCCAGTGCCATCCCCCGGAGGGTGCTCCCCTATGAGGAGGGAAAAGGTGTGTCCGCAGCCACTCAGTCAGAGAGAGTGACACAAGCCCTATTAGGAAATCCCTGGAGGACGGGGATATAAATCCTGGCCTGGATTGCCGAGTTTCCACTGAAGGTAAAAGTCGGGCCTGGCAGCCTTCCCCAGGCGAGAAGCAACAAGGTCGAAGAATGCAGGGCTGCAGGTAAGAGGCTTTTGAGAGAGAGAGAGAGAATGGGAGAGAGAGGGAATGAGAGAGAGAGAGAGAGAGAGAATGAGAGAGAGAGGGAACGAGAGAGAGGGAATTACAGAATGAGGGGGAGAGAGAGAGAGGGAGAGAAATCTGGGGGTTAGGACCCTTGGATTCCATTTCAGGATGGAGCTTCAGGTGGCTTTCCTGTTGTCTCTGGACCTTGGGTGCCTTCGCTGGGTGGCATTCCTCATCTCTTCAACCTTTGTTTTTCGGAAGGTGACCCTGACCTTCTTGGGCTTCAGTGTTTCTGTCAAAAACGGGCTAGATCAGAGGATTTCTGAGGATCTTCTATGATTCGAAGTGACAGGCAAAAATGCTGTGGGATCCAGTTAAAGGAGATTCATAGCTGCAGACAGGTCACCTTGAGAGAGGCTGTGCCTATGAGGCTTACCCTGAATTTAGAGGTTTTCTTCTTTGGAAGGTCAGGGGGTTTTCTGGTATGGCATGTTTTCTTTTTAAAAGTAGGTGTAACTTTTCTCACACTCGAGCTTTCAGACCTGGCTGAGCGCCAGTGCTCCGGGTTGTCTTGGAGGAGTAGCAAGCGGATCGTGGTGCGAAAGTGTGAGCCGTGGGACTAAAAGGTCTGTGTTCAAGTTCTGACTTTGTCTCTTCCTAGCTGTATGATGTCACATGTGTGTCCATATCATAACTGTCCTTAAAAAATTCTATACTCTAGTGAATAAGGGGTACCATCTGAATAGAGATCATCTACCCAGTGGCCAGCAGCTTGCCAGTAATCAAAAGCCAGGAAGCATTAAGCTTACCTTCATCCCTTGCTTCGTTCTTGTGAAATAATAACACTGGGTACAGTTTTTTAAAATAAAGTTGCTTTTTATCCTCAATTATAATTAAATAAATTGCACAATTTATTTTTAACGTCTCAGTGTCCCCATCTGTAAAATAGTGAACTCAATGGGGAGGATCATAAGGTGGTGGGAAAAGTAAATGAGTATGAATCATGTAAGGCACTTGGAGTAGCTTGGCACGCCGTGGGTGCAGCCGAAACGTTGGCTCTCACTCTTCGGCACTCTCTCTCGAATCCCTCCTTGGAAGTCCTTTGCTCCTCGTGGAACCCCAGCTCCCTCAGGAGCCCCCTACCTCGTGGCCCCCAGCTCTGCCACTGATGTGCTGTGATCCAGGTCAAGGCTCCTCTCTGTCTGGGTTTCCTCTTCTGTAAATAGGCAGTTGAGTGACTTGATCTTGCAAGTCCCTCCTAGCTGTGTGGGGGCCTGCAGTGGGATGCTGCCGGCTTCCGTCTCTGCAGTTCACCCCACCCCACCAAGCTCACTCTTGCCCTGGCCCGTCTCTCTGAGCTCTGCCATCCCAAGAGGGCAGTGGGCCCCTTCCTACAGGCTCAGGGCGATATCCCCACATGCAAAACAGAAAGAGCACCTTCTCTCATATCTCATTAGTTTTGTCTGGTTCCATTGCATTTCCAGTGTTTTAGCCTCTTTGGTTACCCTAAAAGGCCAGCAGGAAGCTTGGATAAGGTCAGAGGAGCTGGGAGGACAGTCTCTGCCCCATTTGTTCCCAGCTGCCTGGGAGCACCTCCCAGGCCCTACCAGCAGGTGTCCCCTCAACCTTCTGACTCCCGCCGGACTTCACACCCCAGCTGTTACACAACAAACCCCTGTGTGATCAAGACCCTCAGACCCCGTCCCCCCTCCCTTCCCCCAGGCTAACAGAATCAGTGTCACATGCAAACGCAACTGACAAAGCTCGAGTTGTATGTGTTCGAGTTGTCTTTTTCTGTTACCATTACCAGCTGTCTGGACAGGGGCACATGGTCATGACAGTGGCTTTGGCCAGTGCTTTTCAACCTTGAGGGTGCATTAGCACCCCTGAGGCTTAGTAAGCAGACTGCTGGATCCACTCAGATTTTGATTCAGTACTTGTGTGCAGGATGTCCGAGGTAGAAGGTCCCAGGTGATGCTGATGCTGCTGGTCTGGGGACCACACTTTGAGAACCACTTCCTTAGGCGATAACAAGAGGTTTTACATCCAGTGGCAAACTGACCAGGGAGTTGTTTCAGGACAAGAACGTTTTGAGGGCATTTTCAAAACAGAACTCACAGGGACCTGCTGGGTGTGACATGAGGGCTAGAGGCTGGAGGTCTTAAATAGGAGAGTTCTATTTAACAGATGGGCAAACAGGCACAGTGGGAATAATAAGTATCTCAGTGTCTGGAACTTGACCTCAGGCTCCTACCAGTTTTGTTCTCCACTTAAGAAGGAACAGTGCTTAACATAGGAGGGAAGAAGGCGGCAAAGGGCAGCAAAAAGATGAAGGGAATACGGAAGCTTCTGTGCCCGGCTGATGGGCCAAATCCAGCGAGGCCACAAGAGAAACAGTGATGGAGTTGTTGATCCTCTAGCATCTCAGAGTCCCTGCTCCAGTGGTTCTCAGCCCTGGCTGAATGTTACCATCACCTGGGGAGCTCTTAAAAATCCCTGTACCTGGAACCAATTACACCATTAATGTTGGGGGCTGGGACCTGGGCTTTAGTAGTGTTTAAAGCCTTCCAGGCAGTTCTGATGTATAACCAAGGCTGAGATCCACTGCACTATTCCATCTCTTACACTCCTTACTGTCCCACCTTTTATTAACTCTTCAGGGACTCCTTCAAACCCTGTGTTCTGAACCTGTAATTTATCTGATGAATTTCAGATAAATGGGCATTTTAGTCACCAGTAGCGTGAACAGAAGTCTGAGAATCTGTATTAAACTCCTCGCAAACGTTTCTGAAACATACTTTGGTTAAGAACCTCTGTTTCATATTAAGCATAAATAATTTCCTAAACACAAGGAGGTGAATGATTATGGCATTTGATTGTGGGCCAAAAGAGTCCAACTTGGGGCACATGGGTGGCTCAGTCGTTAAGCGTCTGCCTTCGGCTCAGGTCATGATCCCAGGGTCCTGGGATCGAGCCCCGAATCGGGCTCCCTGCTCAGTGGGAAGCCTGCTTCTCCCTCTCCCACTCACCCTGCTTGTGTTCCCTCTCTCACTGTCTCTCTCTCTGTCAAATAAATAAATAAAATCTTTAAAAAAAAAAAAGAGTCCAACTTAAAACCAATTATCTTAAAACCAGTAACTTAGCTTCTGGATGTTGTTTTCACTCATCAGATGACAGGGATAGGGTAGGGAGCAGAGGTTCTTTGCTATTGTTAAGGATCTCTGGAAAGTGTTCATACCACCCAAAGTTTTCATGAAACGTCAAGGGGAAATTTAAGAATACGTGGACTTCAGTGGGGATTTCAAACTTGAGTGTACTCGGGGACCACACAGTAGGTCAAACCTGTGAGGCTATGAGTGATGAGGCCAGTGGCCAGCTGGAATGAACTTGTCTCTTGGGAAAGACATTCAGTGAAGACTAACATTAACATTCTGGCAGAATAATGCATACTCACAAGCTGAACTGGCCCAGGTCCCAGTTCGTGATTTGCGGACTGGCTTTGACAGCTTCTCACAATATGATCACATACCCTCTGAGTGAAAGGGATGAAGGGCAAATCCTGGCCCTCCCCCCACTTTTATTTGTATTTCCTTAGAGGAGTAACTTAACTCCTGTAAGCCCCAATGTCTTCATCTCTGAAATGAAAATAATAATACATAGTTCACTCAATGTTGGGGAAATTAAAGGAAACTTTTGCCTACTGCCTGGCATTTATTGATGTTCAGTAAATGTTAGCTAACATCACCATCTTCAGTATCACCATCATCAGATTATACAATTCTGACAGCAAAATTTCAGAAACCACACTGAAGGGCTGCAGTGATCAGGGCACAGGGATTTAATATAATTTCTGCTCTCACTCCATGTAGGCATCTGCCTACTCTATTTAAGAATAAGCCAATCTAGGGCGCCTGGGTGGCTCAGTTGGTTAAGTGACTGCCTTTGGCTCAGGTCATGATCCCGGAGTCCTGGGATTGAGTCCTGCGTCGGGCTCCCGGCTCAGCGGGGAGCCTGCTTCTCCCTCTGACCCTCTCCCCTCTCATGCTGTTTCTCTGTCTCTCAAATAAATAAATAAATAAAATCTTTAAAAAAAAAAAGAATAAGCCAATCTAAAGACCAGAGCTTCTCAACTGCCTAGAAATCTTGTGGATATGTCCGTAATTCCAATGCCTAAGTCTGAGGTGGAGCCTGAGATTTTGCATTTCTTCACAAGTGATGCTGCTGGTCCATGGACCACCCTTTGAGTAGCAAGGCTTCAGAATATTTGGGCTAAGGTTTTCTTACTTGGGAGCAAGGAAGAAGTGAATGTAAAGCGTTGGAAGGGTCCTGGATTTTGTAGAGCTAATATTCATCAGACTGTTTTTTTTTAAATGTCTGTGGTAGGCAGAATTCTAAGTGACCCCCACTACACATGTCCTTGTATAACTCCCCCTCCCCCGAATGAGGGTGCACTATATGAATGTGATGGGATATCACCCTCATGATTAGATTCGCCTTATACCACAATTGCAGGTATAATTTAGGACCCTGACAAGTTGACTTGAAGTTAATCAAAAGGAATTTTCCTGAGTGTGCCTGACACAACCAGGTGGCTCTTTAAAAAAAAAGGTCTAGAGGTCAGAGAGACACGAAGCAACATCTGATGCTGCTCTATTGGCCTTGAAAAAAAACAGTCTTGTTGTGGAAATGGCCACAGGGCAGGAAACAGTGGGCAGCCTCCAGGTGCTGAGAGTGGCCTTGGCTGACAGCCAGCAAGAAAGTGGGGACCCCAGTTAATACAATCACAAGGAACTGACTTCTACCAATAGTCACATGGAACAGAACCTTGGGCTTTGATAATCTGTTACACACTCAGCAGAGACTTCATCCAAATTGAGACCAGACATCCGACCCGCGACAGAATGACTAATGAATGGGTGTTATTTTAAGTCACTGAGTTTGTGGGATTTCTACACAGCAATAGAAAACGAATACGATGTCCTAATTCTTCTCTTTGATTGCTGTACCTATCAGTCCAAGGTATAGACAACCTAAAACATCTCAGTAGCTTAATACGACACAAGTTTCTCTGGCTCATGCTGTATCAGTGTCATTGGTCAGCTGTGTCAGACCAGGACAACACGTCATAGCCACTTGAGGACATTTTCAAAAGAGAACTCATGGATACCATCTGTTGAATTGTTTTGACATGGGTGCCAGGGTTGGAAATAGGTGTTTCTCCTACTTAACAGAAGGAGAAACAGACACGGAGACACAACGGAGTGGATCCGTAGATGGAAGTAGACCTCAGCCTCCTATCGGGACGACCTGATAATCCTATGTGGCCACCATCAATAAACAAGGGCTCAGAGAAAAGGGTATTGGAGGGTAGGGCACCAGAAATGAAATGCATAGGCTTGGAAGTGACCCATGTCCCTCGCGTTTACTTTTCATGGCTATAACCAGTCATGTGGCTATGCCTCACTTTAAGGTACAGAGACGTGGCATCTTATGTGTACCCCAAAGTAGAAAAGTACCAGATATTGGTTGGCGTGAGTCTGTCTACCATGGCATGTTGCTCAGTTAGGTGGGAGTGGCAGGGGAGGAGGCAGGATCTCAGACTGTTCAGCTTCACAGATCTCTTCTT